GGAAGGAGGTAAAGGAAAGGAAGGTAAAGGTAAAGAGAAGGAAGGAAAGGTGGAAAGGGAAGGGAAGGCCCTGGTCTTCCAGGCCGAAAGGAGAAAGGAGACAGGAACTGGCGACTTTTTACACTTTTTTTCTACACTTTAAAAATAACTAGCTACTTTTTCTACACTTTTGGGGTTCTTTAGCAAGTGGCCTGGGTTCACCTTTTCAAGCTCAAAAAAGGCTCTTCCAGGCCACTTGTCTTTTTCTACACTTTTTCTCCTCAATTTTCTAAAAATTGTACTCAATTTTTACAATTTTTTCTTCAAACAAGTCTCTGTCGGGTCTCTGTCGGGTCGGGATGCGACCCGGTGACGTCTCTGAGCTCAAAAAAAACGCGACAATTTTAACGCATTATTTTAACCTTTTTGGAGGGCTGCGCTCTCTGTGTCTATTCCCCTTAACGGGTCCATCGCTCGGCCCGGCGCTGTGAGCTGGTTCACCGGGAGCTTCCTTGCAGAACTTTCTCTTCTCCAGGGAGGGAGGGAGGGAGGGAGGGAGAGAGCGAGAAAGAGTGAGAGCGCAAGGGAAAGAGAGCGGGCGGCTCATGTGCATTTTGTGCCAAAAATATTATTTCTTCTATTTGAAGACCTGTTGGTGAGCACGTTTATCAACCTGTTATCTTGACGCCTTTCTTCTATTTGTCCCGGAACCCTGCCACGGGAGGAATATGCAGACTTCTATTTGAAAATATGTTTTAATATCTTCTATAATAAATTGGCGTACTATATGTCATCTAATGCCAAGACATGGCATGATTCAAGAGGCATGATTTCTATTGTGTGTAAAGCCCATTTCTTTGCTACCTGATTTCATGCTCAAAGCTGCGAAGCAAGGTGTTCTTCAGTGGGACCCGATTGCTATCAGCAAATCAGAAGGCCAGATGGGTGAAAAAACAATTTAAGGTAACACACTCGACATTGGCTGTTTGACGCTGTTTGTCACATGTCCCAAAGCAAAAGTGTGGGTCTGTTGACAACCTCCCCACAGCATAGATCAAATCCTGCCGGCACTAAAGGTTCCTGCATGACGACTCAGAAGGTTCCATTCTTGCTGAATCTGTTGAGTATATATCCAGATAATGACATTGGCTGGGTTTGTACTCTCCGTCCACCAATTCCACGGCTGGTGAAGGGTCACTGCAAACGGTTCGGCGATGCAAGTCGTTGCAGGTGATTCTGCTCTTTGCGAGTTGAGCTGGGACCCACTGGGCCTTAGCATGACCTGTACAACAACTGAAGGAGGCGCACTCTTTTGCAGCAAAGCCATCGGGTGCGGCCCACTTAACACCAGAGTACAAGGGGAGCCAGGCCACTACCAAAGGTCTTTCGTCGATGAGGTTAAATGCCACGATACTAGTTGTTAAATGTTTAAACATGTTTTTATCTTTCAGAGACTCTTGCGTTGCTTTGCTTTGCTTTTGTTGTTTATTTGGTTTTTCTTGTTTGTTTGTTTGTTTGTTTGTTTTTTTCCGGTGCATTTTTCTAGATGTCTGATTGCCTTTTCATTGTTTTGCATTTCGTGGTTGTGTTGTTGTTCAGATGTTTGGTTATCTTGTTGTACGTTTTTTGCTTGTGTTTGTTTAAATTTAAATAATTTGTTTTTTGTTTAAATATGTTTTTGCATTGTTTTGTTCTTGTAGCATACCTTTTGCTTGGAGTTGTGCTTTGCCTTTGAGTTGTGCTTTGCCTTATTTTCTGTCTGAATTTCCCGTTAGACCATCAGCAAACGAGCACGCAAGAAAGCCAGTTGCAAGAAAGCCAGTTGCAAGGAAGGAAGGAAGGAAGGAAGGAAGGAATGAATGAAGCAAAGAATGCTGAAGCAAGCAGGCAAGCCAGCCAGGCAGCTAGCCAGCCAGACCCTTCGCCACTGTCAGCCAGCGAGCAGCCCGCTTGCCAGCCAGCCCAGCCAGCTTTTGGGAGGCGCTGCTCCGCCTGCCAACCAGGGTCCAGCTTTCAACAAAGTCGACCAAAGCGAAGCAATAACAACTATGACAGCAAGCGAAAAGAGCTTTGTACATATCCACAAAAGTTCTACCCTGTGTGCCTACAATGCTTTGCACAATTATATAACTGTACGTAGCAGCAGAAATTGACCATATTCAACGAGAGGTCAACACTGCCAAGCAAACTGGAATGGAACGTTTGTCAAAGGCGTGAGTTCTTCGATTTGTTTTAGCGGCAATATGTTTGGATCCTGTCGCCCACATCAGGCACTTGCTTTTGCTTTGTAGACTGTACCGTATCTGTCCCCATCTGGCCAGGTGGTGGTTGTCTTGATCCCAGCGTGGTCCTTCTTGCTGCGAGGTGGGTCAAAAGCCTTTGGAGTAATCGTTCATTGTGACATGGACTGGGAACCAAAGAAGCAAAGCGGAGTCCGTCGTGGCTTGGCAGTTGGACCGTTGGTCGGATTGTAACATGTAACATTTGCTTCCTTGGCCCACACCGTCGAGTCGAAACCATTTTTGCATTTGCGCTGCACGACGTTGGGAGACAGTGCAGGACTCTTGACAAGAAGACCACATCAGACTGTGTCAAGCGTATCCTGGCACAGCACCAAATCTCTTTTGGAATTCAAGGAATATGAAAAACATTTTTCAAGGAAAGTATGTGTGTATACATTATATATCATTATATAATGATTGATTAGGGTCTCCATCGCCGGGGCCGATTACATTCTTTTGTTATGGCTTTGTGAGCGCAGCGACATGCAGAGACCCTTTTTCGTTTCAGCCACTATTAAACTGCAGAGGAAATCGACATGACATGGAGTTTGAAGAACTGGGACGCTCAAAGGCCCATTGGAAACCCATGGACATAAGAAAACTTGGGGATTTTGACTTCTATCATCTATCATATGGGTCGGACATCATGCTTTGGACACATGGCAAACTCATTTTCGTTGTCTCACCTTCCTGACGCCCTGCTCAGGTGCAAGTTTCTACTCGCTCCCATCCACGGCTTTCTCTGAGACTGCCACCACGGATAAGGATGGATCGCAAGCCATACAAATTTTTCCTTTTTTGCATTTTGCATGGCTCAAAGCATGGCTGTTGTGAAATGCTCGGTAAATGACTCAATGACTCAATAACAAACTGGTTCCATTCTCCCGCTTTGACACTGTGGGTCACTGACCATTTGCTGCAGGATTTTTGGTCTCAAACACCAAGCTTGTTGGCAAAGGTTAATAGGACAATTGAACATCCGATGAACAGCAATGGAATCTTTGTTTGATGTTTAGGAATGCATTGATGTAGACAGGTGTGGTGATGGTTGATTCACGAGCAACCAGAATCGAGGATGGCCAGACCAGAGTGATAATTGTAAAGTGACAATCTTTGGTTTCTTGCGGGAACATTTCCTTTTCCTACAATGATCTCCAGATATCTGGGGTACACACTATTCTCATGAGTCATGGGTTTGGCATACAGCTTCGGAGACATGCAGGCCACAAAGAACCGTTTTTTTTTCCAACAAACTTTGAACCGATTCAATCCTTGACACAAAGTCTAATCTGATGAGCTTGTGCCCACCGGGACATTATGTCGGAGGCGCTCATCGCCAGCTGACACAGGTGACCCTGCCCCAGCGGCTGCCCATTAGTCACGGGCGCTGGAGTCCTGACCTTCTTCGGCGCAGCGCTCGCAGCGCTCGCAGCTGGCGCATCCGTCGCTCGGCCTTGAGGATTGATCCTGTCCTTGTGGCCCATGTGGGGCGTCAAGCGTGTGTTGGAGCTTTGGCAGCTGTGGTGGCGGCTCTATTGCAGGCTTTTACCGAGCCAGTGTTGAACCGCGTGGCTGTGAAGCGCATGCGCTTGAGTGATGCTATCCGGGAGGTACGACTCATCGACATCCTTCGCTTCTTCCGGACTGTGCTGGCAACCAATCTTTTGAAGTTTCCATTTTTTGAAGCTGTGAATGACTTCTCAACTTCATGGTCATTCATACCCTATCCATTGCAGGGGACTTTAGCGGCTGTGATCTATACGTCGGCAGTCTTGCCCCTGGCAAATTACCGGTACATCAAGAGCTTGCAGCTCAAAGTGAAATTCAAAAAGCTCTACCAAGCATACTTTCCCACATTGCTTCGAGACCTCATCTATGGGGTTACACGACATTGGATGATGATCAAGTTGGCAACTCCTTACAAGCTATCAGTGGGTGGTGAGGCCTTGAGGTATTTTGTCTCCATTGCAGTGGCCTGCTTGGCATCTGCACCAGGGAATGAGCTTCGTGCATACAGGCTTCAGCCGAAGAAGTCACGACGTCCGATGTCTGAATTTTTTGAGCTGCAGCCCTTCCTGCGCTCAGCCATGCTGGGAGCTTTAATCCCAGCCACAGCCATCGCTTCAGGGCATGTCTTGGTGAGTCAAGCCGAGGTGATGGGGAAGTTCTTTTTGCGAGGTCTTGAGCTAATGCCACGACATTGGGTACCTGTCGTTTTCATTATGATCTGGGCTGTACTGAAACTGGAGTCCACGAGGCAGTACTATGATCCCTACGCGCAGAGCCGGATGTTGCGAACTATGCGCGCAGAGGCGAGGAATAGAGGCCAAGGTTCCAGGTCCCAAGTAGCAGCCAGTGTGGCCACCTCTTCTCCAGCACGAATCGTGGAGACGATTTCTGACCCATTGGAGTCACAAGTTGAGCCACGTGGTGGCAAGGAGGTCTACGAAATCGCAGTTCCATCAACCGCTGAAATTGCGAAGTTTGTGGTGCCGTCCTTTTGCTTGGTTGTGGCCAATAGTTCGATGACCACCGTGGACAAGGCCTTCTTAGGTCAGTCAAGCTCTCTTCAGCTCGCTGCCATGGGTCCAGCGGCCTCGGTTTTTGATTCAGCCTCTTTGGTCCTGACCTTCCTGAACACAGCCACCTTGAGCTTGCTGGGCATGACCAAGAGTCCTCGACAGCTTCGGAAGATCCGGTCCCATGCGATCTTCTTGGCCACCAGCTCTGGCTTGATTTTGACGGGTTCCTTGGTCACCTTCGCAGGGCCCTTGACACGCTTCATGGGTGCCACCAATGCAATGTTGCCACTCTCAGTGGCCTACCTACAGATTCGAGCCTTGGGTGCAGCCATCGAGCGTGGCACCTCTGTGGCCACCTCCTTCTGTTTAGCAGCAAAAGATGGTGCCACACCGTTGATCGTGACGTTGGTTGGCTTGCTTGTGAACGTGCTAGGCGATGCTCTCTTGTGCCCAAAGTATGGCTTGGCGGGGGTCGCTGCAGCATCAGTACTTGCAGCCGCTTGTGGATACGGCTATTTCATACGATCTTTGTGGAAATCGCAGCGCTGGCCACAACCATTTATCTGGCCACGGAATTTTAGATCAATTTCGAGATTTCTGCAGTTCGCTGGTCCTGTGCTGCTGGCAGTCTTTTTGAAAATGTTGGTCTTAGCGAATATGACCACGGCTGCATGTTCGTTTGGAACAACTTCAGCTGCTACTCACCAGCTTTTTCAAACACTTTTTCTTCTATCAGCAGTTGCTATTGGCAATCCGTTCAGCTGGGCAGCACAAGCCTTTCTTCCACCAATTCTGACTGCAGTTTGCGTGGAGCAAGAACCTGGACCCTCAAGCCGGAAGTCCTTCCAGACCTTGCGGAAGCTCTTGTGCAACGCACTGATTCTTTCTGTGACTGCCTCAGTGTCAGTGGTGATCTTCTGTCACAAACTAGGTTGGATCCTTTCCAGTGATCCAGACGTGCTACGGGACATGGCCAGAACAAGTCTGGCTTTGGTGCCTTTCCTCTCGTTATACCCTGTGCTGCTCACCCTGGAGGGTGCCTTATACGGAGCACAAGAGAGAAGCACAGTCTTGTGGCTGAGCATACTATTTTGGTGGACATCCTCTACAGCCATTGGAATCATGCAATTCTTTGGGACCTTGTCTCTGTGCAACATGTGGCTGACCGTTGGTATCTCCTGCGGCCTCACCACACTGGTCACTGCCATATTGACCTTTCGAGCTCTTCTGGTGCCAAAGTGCAAGCTGATCCTCGAAAGATGACACCAGGAAGTGACATAGGTTGAATATTATTTTCAGCATGATTGAACTGGGAGGCGAGCCGATGCGAGCCATGGCTCGGGATGTAAAGAAATGCCATTCTGTGCGAGGGGCAAGAGATGGGCGCTAAAGTGTGGTAGCATCAAATCGGGTCCAACTTAATCTTATCTTGTCGTTATATCCTGTTGTCTGAGATGGTGCTTGCATGAGGCACACAGAGCACCTATTCGACCTATTCCCATTGGTTCCCGTGAGAGTATTTCTAAAAACATATAATTATAAATCTATATACTTTGCACTTAATTTTGTTGGACCCCATCTAAGTTTGAGCCCTTTTTTTGACCATCCGACCACTCCTGGCGAACTCCAGGATGACGAGGCCGACTCCGTCTTTGAGGCCTGGGCAGTGACCGAGGCCCCGGGGACGACCGACGGACAACGACCGATTGGGACGAAAAAGTAACCATTTGCGAGCAGCTTGGATTTAGATTGGGAGTTGAGGAGATTTTGGAAGACTACTTTGTGATCATGTTTGGAGTATGAAGTGAGGTATGCCACTGTCAGACCTTGATTGCCAGCAAGTCAAGTCGGATTCATAGTAAAGACTGACATGCGATGGCTCGGTTTGTCGTGTATCATCTTTGTCAGTTTGTTCGTTTGTGACATTCGCCCCATGGAGTTGCGTTCGCCCCATGTGACGCTGGGAACCGTGCTGGACACGGGTGTCGGGTGAGGCCCTCGGCAGCCCCGATGACATCCTCATGCACAAGGTGCCAGAGTGACTACCATGACCAGAAAGATAGTCAGAGGAAGGTTGATATGATTGATTATGATTTGTGATGGAAAGCACACCGCCATTGCTTTCAGACTGCTTGCAGGGCGTGCACTATGAGATGAGTGTGCGCAACACGCCCATCGACTCAGAAAGTGCTGGCTTGTGTTCACTCACTGGCCTGAATGCTTTGCACGACAAGCTTCATTTTGATTGATGCCCAAAACAGTGTGGACTAGACTTACCAGTACCTGTTTATTGTCAAGCCGCCTTTACTTTTTCTCCCGCTTCTTTGCTGCAAATATGCATCCAGTGCTGAGGTTCATCAGTTTTGGAGTTGCTGGTACAGCCAAGAGGCGCGGGACACTTCTGGGAGTGTGGAGCGATGCAACAAGAAGCGGGGCATTCTTTAGTGACGTCATGGTAAATGCACACCTCAACTCCCAAATAGAGAGGATGACGAAAGCCTTTGTCGTACTTACAGGACTTTGCACGTTTTCTTGCAAAAACGACTTATTTGATGTTATTTGCCCCGGAGATGGTTGTCCACCATCAAGTTTCAAGCTTCACACCAACAATATTTTATGTTGTGTGCTTTTACATCTGAGCCACGCTGAAAACCTCCCCCCCGCGTAAGCTAAAACTGCGGTCGCGTAAGCTCTGCGTAAGCTTTGGCGTAAGCCAGACATTTCCAGGTTATGTCATATCGATGCTGCGTAAGCAAAGCCTGCAATGGCGTAAGGTGGCGTAAGCAGCGGCGTAAGCAACACCCCCGCGTAAGCTGAAACTGCGGTCGCGTAAGCGCTGCGTAAGTTTTCGCGTAAGGCAGTTCTTACGTTACGACAGGAATCTATCAAGGTTTTCAGCATGGCTCATCTAACAATTGAATGACATTATTTCATATTATTTTGAGATAGCATGTTCTTTTCCCCGAATGCTAAGCGAAGGGTTCTCCTTTAACTTTGGGAGTCTGAGGGTAGAGCGTTGTTTGCGTGACCTTGCTTGCATGTCCGCAACCGTTCGCAAGCGACTGAATGTAATGGATAAGGCCGTGCCATTGGGGGGAAGCTTTTGGAGGAGGTTTTGGATGGAATGCTGAAGTGTCAGATTCGTGTACATAGCATAGAAACGTAACATGTGGAAGTGTGGAGGATGATTTTGCTGCTTCCGTGCCATTGGGATTGGCGTTCGCAGGGTCTTTTGGAGGTGTTGGATGTCGCTGTGCCATTGGCAGGCTGTTGTCTCAAGGCTGCGTTTGTGTGACAAGTCCCAGGTAAACGGACGTGAGTGTGCCCAGAAAGTATTGAAGTGAGTCTAATCGTGTGGTGTGGTGCAAAATTTGCTGATTCATTGCAGACACGAAGATGTGATGGAGCACCGTTTCGTAGCAGGAGCAGTGCTTAGTGCGTGTTGGAGGTGTCAAAGTTGAACTTTCGTTGAGATTGAGAGCTGCTTATTATTTTAGTCTATTTTAGTACTCGCTGTGATGCAGTTCACATCGCTTCACTTTGGGAGGAAGTCTCGTGCGAAGTGCTTGCTTTGGAGAGTTGACGCTCGACTTTTGGAGGAAGTCTCGTATGAAGCGCCCACCAGAGTGTCTCCTAGATGAGTGTGCCACAAGTGTGGCCCACGAGAGTGTCAAACAATGTGTTTCGAAAGCCAGCGGATAGGCTAGGCTGAGGTTCTGCGCAGCGAGCGACGTGTGTATGAAGAGGTGTGTGTGGGGGGGGTAGGTTAAGAAGACAGGTTTTGGAAGGATGAACCTGGAATTTGTTGGGGGAACGAAAATTCATAGCAAGTAGTAAAGTCGCATGTTGAGGGCCCTTGTGATGCGAGTGATGTAGCGATTGATACTAATCACCGGGCACGACGGCATATTTTGCATCAAAGTCGTCAAGGCGTTTCTTGGGAATTTGTTGAAAACCCTTTGTCGGTATGATTTGCGGATGCGTGAAGTCAAACCATGCACAGAGATCCAGATGCAGAGAGTCGAAGAAACGTGTTTTAGGCGCATTTCGGGTTGGTGCCCTTTTGCGTTGTGTTTGCAGGGCCGTCTCGGAGCCAAAAAGAGGCACTAGCAACCACTAGCAGATTCTCTGAACAGACCTTCAGGGTGCCCTCGCGCTTTGTTTCGTGTTTCGGGGCAAAATCTAGGGCACCCCCCGCAAACGGCCTCTAGTGATAAGTTTCTTCTCATTTCAATGCGCTCTTCGGACGTAACATTTCTTGGCCCCGACACGGAACCTGAGCGGTGACATGCGCTGACTTACTTTTCTCAGGAAACTTGTTGCTAGAACCCACTTTTCAGAGATGTCCTTTTTGCGCTAGACTGCTCTCAAAAAAAGTGCGGAAGGGCACCAACAAAAAAACAAACAACTCTGGCTCTTCGCATCTAGATCCACTGTGTTTTTCCGCACCTGCATCGACAATTCATGTCCAGCGGCAGGCAAAACTCCAGCAAAACTCCAGCGTTGTAGCCTTTACGAGTTTTGTATGAGTTTGTCATGTCCAATTTCCCCCACCGATTGCCAAAATGCATCTCAAGCGGCTTGCAAGATTGAATGCAAATACTATCAAATACTCGGCGAAGATGCATCTGCCAATATCTGCCATGTCCTGCGGTCCTATTGCTGTTGGGCAGCTATTTATAGACCTGCATCAGTCGAAAATGTCTGCGACGATTGGCTTTCGTCCCCTCGATTCTCAGGTTTGGCCGTTTGTTTTTGAGTGCGTGTGTGCATTCGGGTTTGTGGGCCACCATCTTAGTTCCTGCAAGTGTGCGGTTCCAAGGGGGCAAGCCACATCAACTGAGGATGCTACAGCGATCCCTCTCGGAGCCCAGCCTGAATGAACGTGAGGATTGAAAGGGTCCCAGGCACGGTCGGGTCGAAGAAAGACATGGGTAGACGAGCGGGATGACCGCAGCGGCTAGGTGCCATGCTCCCATGGTTTTGTTGGGAATAGTCGAGCTGTTGTTTCTAGTACATCTGGCTGTTATACAACAACCCGTTGTAGCTATATGCCTCCATATTATGCCTTCAGTCAGTTTCCCCGGTCACGGGCCCTTCGACATGCCAAAGAGCCCCCCGCCGCCCCAGCTTTCTTTGTGCTGTATGTCTCTATCGAACGATGTCGGAACAACTGGTTGTTCAACTTTCCAGTTGCCGGTTCTGTATGACATAGCTAGGTTTGGGCATCCAGCAGGCCAGGTGGGTGTTGAGCCATTTCCTAGGCACGGTAGTCAAAATAGCTGGAATGCTGGCGCTGGCAGATCGGTTTTGTCAAGGTTTTCCCAGGATCCATGTGGCCATGTGGGAGGAACGACGTGTGAAGGATTGGTTGGACCGCAAAGTCCAAAGTCATCAAAGGACACCAAAAGATATTGCCGAACTTTTGTATGCACAATTTTCTTCCATGCGATGTCCCTGCCAAAATTTTTGTTGTTTCTCCGTGCCTGACGCAAACAGCAAGGCTGCAGTTCCCAGATGCTGAATGGCCTTAGTTTTTTCCCCTTGTGAACGACTACCTTTTTTGGATACAGAAATAAGATGAAATACGTGTTACTTCACAAAGATTGTGATTGTACTATACCATCCCCTTGAGCCTTCCGCAACTAGCATCCTATCGATCTTGCCAGCTGTTCTTGGTTCCATGTTAGTCAATCCGGTGCTCTAAACGCCCCCCTATGTTGCAACACCAGTGGTAGTGGGGCTTGCCGGAATCCCAACATGTGCGGACGTACACCAACGGCTTGTGGTTGTGCAATAGCCCCTGCAACTAAATGAACCTCTTGCAAGCACCTAGATTCTTGAGAAGACTTGAACAACAACTTATCACAATCTGCTGCTAGCCAGAATATCCAAAAAAGGCTTGAGTGTGACGAGTTGCTTGGTGCTTGGCCAAACTCAAGCGGATGACCAGAGATTGGACGATAAGTGAAGCGCCTCTCTAGATCAAACTTGTAACTTGTAACAACAGGCTTGGCATTCCACAGCTTCCACCCGCAGGCCACAGCTTTTGTAAACAACAAAACAACTGTCTTTAACTTTCTGGTGTCCGCAATGTTTCCTTTAGGGTTTGAAAGAAGAACAATATTTTCACGTGCCCCACCAAGCACTGGTTGGTCCGTTGATTCAACATCAACATCATGTTGTGAACAGGGGTGAGGGGATCTGACCTCCCTGGCCTTTGTTCCTTCAAAGGCTTCATGCTCCACGGGGCTATTCCCAACATCCAGAAGAAGGAGCTCCAAAAACTTCTAAAGGCATGTCCTACATACTGCAAGACGCACTTACATGCAGCTAGTTGAAGCCGGGTTCAAGACCCATCGACTATATAATGTTGTCCGCTCGCTGGCCATGAAGTCACCTTGCCATCTCTCAGATTGTCTCAACAGCTAGTCATGTTGCCTTGCAGTGGACAATATCAGAACTCAGACAGATGACTGAGGTGAGGACAGAGAGTGCCTCCTTCCAAGAGTACAATTTCTAGGAAGTGATTGTGCCATATTGAATTGTGCCATCCATATGGTGGATGTTGGAGAGATCATCACAGAGACTAGTGAAGGTGCCATGACCACACCCTAATTAATTGATGGAACGGTATATTGAGAGTCGACATCAGTGCAAGATTCACTGTCCACTGCATGGCTGGATTCCAATTCCGTTTAGGGAGACTTCAGAACTTTCAAACATCGAAATGGCTCATACAAAGAAGGTGGCGTAGAGCGTGCAAGGATGTTTCTCTCTTTGCCGATGTCCGCGCCAAGTTGAGCCCAATGGAGCCCAGGTTTTCTCAAAATCCGCTTTGCGGTATGTGTGAGCGACATTGCTTGAAAGCTCTTCCATACAGACGGACCAGTTTTCAAGATCTGGGCTCTTTTCCCGAAAGATTGAGGAGGCTAAGCAAGCCAAGCTGGAATTAACGTAGGAAACTATACAGTCATGATGTGGCCTACTAGAGAAACTAAGCAAGAGAATGCCACAGAGGTGACGGATATCCGAATCATCGTGCCTGACGTACTGTGTAGGCAGCAGAGGCCACAAAATCGAGAGGTAGCAAAGGGTTCGAAGAGCTGACCAGATATATAAGTTACGACCAGTTCGGATCGACTGAGGATGCCAGATCGAACAATTTGACGAACCCACGGATGGACCTTTCCTGTTTCACGGAGTCTGATTGTCATTTATAGAACCTGAGCAGCTTTGCAGATTCATCATTCACGGCATTTGCCTTTTGAACATGTACAGAAAAGACATGAAAAGAACATTTGTTGCTCAGCAAATGTGTGAGAAACTGTTTCAAGTGTTGCCACCGCCACACTCTTTGAACCGCGCTTGTGGCGTCTCCCGTATCCCACAGCACGGGGAAGTGGTGGAAATTCGTTGCTCTTTGAGCATTGGCCTCCTGCCTACCTTGGAGAGGAGGCCCTCACGTCTGCAGGACGTAGAACACTACAGGAGACCTCAGCATGGGCTTTCACAGGACTGGCCAGACAAGTATAATGTAGCCGCGAAAGTTTCAAAGCTCTCAAGATGCCAAAGAACAACCCTCATGGCCTCATGATTGTTGGGCCATGATCGTGTCACCTGTGCTGTTTTCTAGACACCGACAGCGGTGCAGAGAATGGTAAACCAATGGTGAGTCGCTTTGTCTGCAGTCCCCTTTCAAGGTGCCTGTTCGTCGCTCATTTTTGTTCACCGAAACCAATCATTCAATATATATATATACTGTATATATATATATATATTGATATGGATAAATGTCCTCATAGCTAAGCACAGAACCAATCCGTTTTCACCGCAGCATCGGGCTCTTAAAGGAGGTCGATGGGAGAGAACCGAGCTGGGTCTCTCCCAGTTTGTGACAGGTGCCTTCACTTCGTGGTTCGGCAGAGTGGATTGAGCACTTGCGAGCCGTGCCGGAAACTCTGGCAGTTGCAAGTGTCGCTACGCGGAGTACTGGCACCCAAGCGAGACGAACAAGCGGTGATATACCTCCAGGAGTGCTTCTCGCTTCTGGAGGAGTGGGTGGCTAAGGTCAAGGAGCTAGAGGCCTCAGTCACCACTGGAGATCACCGTGCTCGAGGAGCCCGAGATCGCAGCCGTTTGAAAAGAAGAGAGGAGACTAAGGATTGCCGCCCAGTTCCAGCCCAAGAGAAATCAGCCCAACCAGTTCAGCCCAAAACACCACCAGTCCAGCCCCTGCTAAAGTCTGAAGGTACATTGCCAGTTGAGGGGAGGGAAGTCAGCAGGGTTACCTCCCAAAGTCGCATCGTACCTCGACCCAGCCATCAGCCCAGCAGTGCACATCGCGGACGGTCTCCCAGCCTTTCCCTCTACCCCAAGCGGAAGGCAGAACCCAAGCGGGAGGTTGAGGCTCTCCCGGAAGCCGCGGTTGAACAGCCCCCAGGGGAGTTGAAGGAAACTCCCAAGCCCAAAGAGAAAAAGAAAGAAAAGAAGTCCAGGTCGTCTTCGAGCAGTTCATCAAGGAGGAGGAGAAAGAAGGAAAAGAGAAGGAGGGAGAAGGAAAAGAGGGACAAGAAGAGACGGCGAAGATCCTCGAGTCCTGGGGATTCTGTTTCGGGCTCGCGAGTTAGAGCAGAAAACCAGAAAAGACTTGAAAAAACTGCCTACACCGCCGCGTGCCCGCAGCCCCCACACACCGCCAGGACCACCGCCTGATCCTCCGCCTGCGCCAGCCCGAGACGCCAGTCCAGCCCCCCTTGCCAGGGGTCGAGGGCGCGGGTGGATCGGTCCGATTCCTTGGAGTTCACACCCCCGCTGGTACACTGGCAAGAATAAGGGCATCACCCGAAGAGCGAAGCAAGAAAAGTATAACAACAGGTGGTGGTGATGTCCGTTCGTCGGCGGCCAGCGGCAAGAGTTGAGCCTTTGCGGAAAAGGCCGGCTAGCAAGCCAGAGCAGGAGTTGAAGACCGATAGATTCACCTACCTCCTGGAGCTGACGGCGGCGCAGTTGCGATGTTTGGGACTGGTTGAACTGGCCTATGGGTATTACTATGATGGACTCGTGAAGGTAGCTGGTTACATCACAGGTTTGGGCCGTGATACTGACTACCTGGAGTTCAAGGTGACCGGAACCCAGACAGAGAGGCTGGTGGAGGCCCTGAGTGACCCATCGCGGAGAACTATGCAGCTGCACATCTGCCCAAAGGATTGCAGCCACTCTGCAACAGGGCCTGATGTGTTGCACGCAGCTGGCTTTTGGGAGGTGGGAGACAAGAAGCTGCCCTGGCACACGCTTTTTGAAGATGTGCGTGCCCCGCCGGACGAGCATGACGAGATGGCGAAGTTGAGGGAGCACTATGCGGCCAGGAAGAAGGCAGTGGAAGGGGAGAAGGACTCTCCCAGTGAAGAGGCAGACAAAGACAAGAAAAGTAAGAAGAAAAGGAAGAAGGCGAAGGATAAAGAAAAGAAGCCAGAGAAGGCAAAGTCAGACAAGGAGGGCACAGAGGAGGAGCCGTTGTTTGATAGAGGACAGAAGGCTCTGTTGGCAGTGGTTGAGACTAGATTAGAGCGTTGCAGCCAGCCCAAGGGGGACGTGTTCCCCTTGCCGCTTGCTAGTGCGTTGGGACTTCAGGGGAAATTCATACCCAGTACAGATGCATTGATTCGTGCATTGAATTTACTTTATGGGACTAGGACCAAACTCAGGACTAAGGAGGACAACATTCGAAGAAAGCTGACCGAACGTACGCATGGTGTGGTGTCGAACTTTTCCTTGTTAGACCAGGCTATGCCCCAACTAGACTTCCATCATCTGTTTCAGTCGAAAGCAGTGGACTATACCGGAGAGGAGGTTCAGGTGGCCCGATCATTTCAATGGAAAATGGTGGAGGCGGC